AAGAATATATGCAGTGTATTATTTGTTGAAACTGTACTTCCGATTTGACTTGAAACTGTCTCATTGCTATCTGTTTATCAATAAAACTTTGAAAAAAAAAAAGATGCTAGGGTCAATTCCCAGCACTACAAAAATGAACCGTAATACCTAAGTAAGTGTAGTTTGTAAGTTGACTTCCACAATATTTAAAGATAGTTGAGCTGATATTTAAAAACAGATATACCACGTAAAACCCATATTTCTAGTTACTCTTGATAAATTCAAAGAATGGAGGTGGCTGCATCCACACTGGCTGGAGTTGGTACCTGCTGCACTCTTTGACCAGAACATGTGGTATCTGACTGCCACAACGTCCCTACTCCCTGTTGTTTCACCAACAGTAAGGCCTCATTTTGCTTACTTTTTAAAAGTTAGCAAAAGTCATTATAATCATATTATTTTTCTTATAGTGGAGAAATATTTCTCCTTAACCATGTTTATTCAAAGGAGATAAATGAAAGATCAACCAATAATGATTTCTGTTTTCAACCTGTCAGTTTTACATATTTATAGTAGCTATCAGGATCCGTAGAGTTGTAAGTAGGTAAGACCTTTACTAGATAGATGGGAAATACATGTCACAATATGTGTGCTTTCACTTCCCATTTCCATGCCCACAGTATGCATCTCTAATTAATCATGGCTTCCTCTCCTCAAGATTATCCTCAGTGTAACGTCCTAGCAGCCATCCCTAACAAATCAGTATCGGCAGACAAAATGATATCCTTCAGCAGGTTGAATTCTTATTTGACTGAGCTGGAAAGGGAGGTCCAGAAATCTCAAGCCACCATTGAGTATTAGAGCAATTATGAATTCTCAAGTACTGTTCAATTCTGGTACTGTTTTCACAAGCACAAGCTACCCCATTGGGAAGACAAGAAATGAAAACATGATAAAGTTGAACTTCTCTGGCCAGAGCAGCCAACTCACCCACTTGGTTGGATCTATTACTTCCTTTTTGTAGTGTATCATTTAACTTCTCTTTACACTGTCCCTGTCCTCACCCTTCCTTACTTGATTTCCTGCTTCAAACCAACAGTAATATACAACTGACTTGACTTTATCCTGCACTGCCTCCCACACTGATCTTTGTTTGCCCAGCTACCCACAGAATCAGAGGAAATACGTACGGCACCCGGAGCTTTGGAAACTTCTGGATGTCATTTTCTGTCAGGTTCTGAAATGAAGACACACATTGCAGGCAAGTTAAAAGCCACAGAAAGGGCACTAGGCCATGTGAGAAGACTATTACGTGAAACGGTAGTAGCAACTGCAGCAGACTGAAGAATAGCTTGGGCCTACTTTTCTAAACAGAATCTTGAAATGTGTGTTTTCTGTAAAATTTCCAGAGCTGTAAAAGTTAACTCACCTCAGTGAATAAATGTGATGAGGACCAAATCTGTGAAACTCAAGAGAATTTGTTTTGTGCGGTAAATTTGGCCACCTTATAACGTCTGCCCTATACTTTTAACCAGTATTCAAAGGCTCCCTTCAATTTTCAAGGACCAGGAGCAGTGAGCACATAGCATCTTCAGAGCAAATGCAGCTGGGACATCTTGGTAAGGTGTTCAGTAGATTCATCCAATCCAGCTCTTGGAGAAGTTTCTGACCAGACTTCCCGTCAGACCACCTGAGGTGGTATGGGGCAGTAAAGGGAGAGAGGCAAGAGTCTTGGGAAAAGCCCACTTTGTCCAAGCTTCTGCAGGGATGATAACAGAGCACTGGGTGCTGCTCACCAACTCCTATTGTGCTGGGAGAGGGACAGAGGTTGGGGAAGTTCAGGAAGAGATGGAGAAGAAGTTGGACTTAAGCACAAATGGAGATGGAGGAGCAGAATAAAGAAAGAGCAGGCCCTGCTGGAGAGGCAAGTCAGCAGATGCTACCGCTCAGCTATTCCATTCCCACTTTTTCCTTCTTCCTGACTGTCAGGACCCGGATTTTGTTCAGAGCACTAAATGCTCTCATTCACAAGTACTGAGCCCCTTGGATTGGGATTGCCTTGCAGATGATGGGTTCGCAGGACTCACTTGCAGCTGGAGATACAATTTTCAGTCCGTGGAGTGGAGCTCCTAGAATAGTTGCTACTTCTGGTACTTTCTCGAAAAACCAGGAGACACATCCATTGTGTTACTTTTACTCTCTGCCTTTCCCTTCTTCCTCTTGCCTCCATTGCAGATGTGACACGAGGAGTAAAGTAGCTAACTCAGAATCATTATCACAGAAGCCTTGTGCTTTTGCATAGGTTGGCCAGAGCCCGTCTTCTTGATAACTCCTTGAGCCGCTCACCAGCCCCAAGTGTCATCTACACACACTACTTGAGAATGACCAAGCCCTGTTTGTAAACACTGTGCTCAGGTTTCCATGGCATGCAGTCCCATGTCTTCCTAACCATCACAGAGCTAGAAGCATGTCTTCTCTCCCCTTATATACCTTCTCATTCCCCACCAGATGGATTCTCACTTCAGTACCAAAAAACAAAATATGGTGGCAGGAGACCTACTACTCTATGGGAGAGAAAAAGGCAGACAGGCAGGCAGGAAGGCGGGCAGGTGGGCAGGCAGGCGGGTGGGAAGGCAGGAAGGCAGGCAGGTGGGCAGGCGGGAAAGCAGGAAAGATGAAAAGGAAGGAAGGAAGGAAGGAAGGAAGGAAGGAAGGAAGGAAGGAAGGAAGGAAGGAAGGATCAGAAAAAGGGAGAAAATAAAGCAGAGAGGAGGGAAGGAATGGGGAAAGGAAAAATCACTAGGACCTTCTAGTATTGCTTTTATCGACAGAGAGGCCCTGGATGTTACAGAACTGGAAGGTAATAGATGAGTAATTAGAGCTCAGTCTAAGAGTTCCAAATTATGCCCAGAGCACCTGGGGTGGAGGGTGGGCTTTGGTAAAAGCCACTTTTAAAAATCCCAGTTATTGGACCACACACTTGATTCTGCTCCCTGTTTTCCAGGCTCCTATCTCCTCCTATCTCCAATAATTCTACCTGTTCAACACTCACTATAAGTAAGTAATGTTAAGAACTCACGCAGTATCAGACTGAATTAAATTTATGTGTTACTTCCATTATCCTGTCTGCAACTTAAAATGAATCTCATCACACTTTGGCACATTTTCTTCTCCAAAAACGAGGTGGTTGGAAGCCTTTCTGAAGATACCTTTCTGCTACAAATCAGGCTTCTGGGAGGCAAGAATCAGGTCTTACCATTCCCCTATCCCCAGCACATGGCATGAATTAGTATAAAAGGGGGCACAGCAAAGTACTTGTTGAGCAAATGATCAGTGACTAAATGAATAACTTAGGTGGAGTAGTAGAAAAATATATCTAACATGATACCCAGAAAGCAAATCTCAGACCAATAGGCCTCCAGTCTCAGTGTGAGATTTCAGAAGAGCTGAGAAAAAAAAGAGATGGCTGTGGGTGGTGGTAAGCTCATGACTGCTAAAGAAATTCAAGCACATGTTGGTGGCAGGTATACAACCAAGGAAATGAATTGATAATGGCATGAGGTGGTGTATGCCTCAAATGCCAGCACTGTGGGAGACTGAGGCAGGAAGATCCTGAATTCAAGCCCAACATGACAAACTTAGCAACTCAGCCAGGTCCTGTCTCAAAATAACAAAGGTGTGAGGGAGAGGGAAAGTAGCTCAGTGCAAGGGCCCTGTGTTCAAACCTTGGTACCACAGATACATACACACATACATACATACATACATACACACATACATGGATTGGTAGGGGTATGTGACTTCTTGGTCCCTTCCAATTAGCCTGAGGTCTCATTGTTAAGAACATTTACTGTGTCTTATGAACACCTCAGCTTACCGTCCTCACTCTGAATCCAAACCAGAAACATCGACTCCCCTGAGATCCTTGAAGTCTTCTTATGTTACTTTTTAAAAGGTGTAGCAAAGTGCCCAGAAAGGATGAGTTTGGTATTGCCCAGGGTCTCTCTAACCTATCTACAAAGGTGCCGCTTCCAGTGAAACACTCAAACCACCTTCCTGACCACAGCCAAGTGCCTATGTACACTGTTAGAGCTGCAGCAAGGCCTTGGCCCTCAGTGTGGCCTTGCGCCTGGGTCTTAGACTTCAAGCTTCTGGAGTGATACGATGGTGGGGAGGCCAGTACTGTGTGCATTTGACACAAAATCAATTGCATGAATTTTGCAGTGAGAAAGAGGAAAGTAATTGAGATAATGAGAGTGATTTGGTCATCCTTTCTACTAGTCTTTGGCCTACAGTGAAAACTGGAAGATAATATATATATATATATATATATATTCATTCTTTTTTTTTCTCCTTGGGTTTCTCAGTGTTCAGGGGTGGGATTTGAATATATTTGCAAGAGCTGTATGGTTTTTTTTTAACAAAGCTATATGTATTTTCTTCTTTATATTGTGGCTTCAGAGTATATGATGGTATCAGTGACAGACTGGAGGGTTCCTGAATGTAGAATTCTGAGACACGGTGTAAGCTGGGGTCAGATCAAACCTGCGAGGAGAGCAGAGGGCTGCTCTCCTCCTGAAGACAGCACTAACCATGGGTATCCTGGGACTTGCAGACCAGCTGGCCCTACAACCATGGGTTGGTAATAATGACAGAACATTCTTGACTTCAGTGTATCAGAAGAGCCAAAGCTTACCAGAAATCGAGCCCCATCGATGTGGTACCTCCTCACGGCCTTCTCACAGTCCCTGTAGTTCAGCTGAGGAGAGGAGAGGTGCTGTGAGTCAAGCTCCTACCATTGCTGTCCCTGCTCTGCCTGCCACAGAAGCCCAGCAACTTTTGCACTCTGGCTGGTCAGCCTCCTTCGTTCTCTCCCTGTCTAACAGAGGGGCCTTGCCCCACCCCCAGTTTTCACTACTCACCACCTCTGAGGACTGGTTATAATGGAAAAGTTGCTCACTCTAAAGGCTTTCCGGCCAACCTCTCCAGAAAGACACTACCCTCAAGATCAGTGAGAGGCTGGCCACAACTGCCCTAGGAAAACAGAGAGGACCTGACAGAAAAAAAAATCACCTGCTCCTCCCCCACTAAGGTAGCCTTAGTGAGTACTGTGGTGTGTTTCCTTCACTCCTTTCTCTCCTAGTGCATTTCTGAACAAATGAAGGTTAGATTCAGTTTTGTCCTGACTTTTTCCCTCTTAAATTGCCTAAAATAATAACATAAGAACTGCTTGGTATTATGCTAAACTTATTTTAATGGTCACAAAATTATTTAATCACTCTCTTATTACTGAACATTTAGTTTTGTTTACTAAATTCCCGTTCCAATAATGCTAATAAAAACTGCTAATTTTACAGAATGCTTTCTACATGGCAGGCACTGTTCCAAAATTTTAAACCAATCTTAAGTACTTTAATTCTCACACTTTGGGGATGAGAAATGAGAGGCACAGGAAGTCCAATAACTTGTGTGAGTCTTAGAGGTGACAATTGGGCATCTAGACATGACTTTAAATGTCTCTATCAGGAAAATTCCTTTTGCAGTAACTATTACTTATATGTAATAAGTCAACTGAGAAAATATAAGTACAGCTTAACACACACAGCATCCAGCTCAAAATACAGAGCACCATGAATTTTCGTTTGCATACTTTTTTCTTTCTATTTAAGAAAGTCAGGGGCTGGGGAGATAGCTCAGTGAGATATGTGCTTGCCTGGCAAGCACAAGGTCCTGAGTTTAATCCCTGGTACCACTAAAAATAAATAAATAAATAAAAAATCAGCCAAGTATGATGCCATACAACTTTAATCCCAGCACTGCGCTGGGAAGGCTGAGGCAGGAAAATTACCATGAGTTTGAGGTAGGCCTGAGCTATACAGTGAGTTCAAGTCTAGCATGAACTACATAGTAAGACCTTGTCCTAAAAGAAAACAAAGAAAGAGTGAGTAAAAAGATGGGAAAAAAGAAAGAAAGAGGAAGAAAGAAAGAAGAAAGAAAGAAAGAAAGAAAGAAAGAAAGAAAGAAAGAAAGAAAGAAAGAAAGAAAGGCATTCAAAGTGAGACTATCAGAGTAGAGTTAGTTATAGGATCAACAGGCCTGAGCATTTTTAAGGTCTTGGTTCATTTCCAAAATCAATTGGCTATCATATGAAGTGCTCATTCCATCTATCCTCAGGAATATGTTTAAAATATCTCTAAGTTTGGTGGCTATAATATTTAAGGTTAAATATTTACTTTGACCATTACAGTTTTTCCTCACAAAAGTAGGCTTCACAATCTGTAGCAGGCTTCTTTGGGCCAATATTAAGATGAAGTTCTTGTCTTATAGCCAACAGATGGAAAAAGTCAATACAATTGTTGTCACCTCTTGATGTGGAAGGGCAGTACGAATATCATTCTCAGAAAGCCAATTTAGAGGATAGTATCTAAGGGGCCCTGGCAGCTCTTTGATCTGTGTGAACAAGGTAGAAGTGGTTCTTGGAATAGCCAACCACTTTAAATTCATCATTTTCACTGTCATTGTTATCAGATGAATTGTCAGTTTTGCAGAGTGCTGGCTTTGATCTAGATTGGCAGACATTCGTGTAGACTATAACCTAGATGTTTGATTCTGAAGGAGTAAGATCTGGGCCCAAGACCTAGAATTTCAGTTTTTAATCAAACAGCCTAGGCAATTCCTATGAGCATAAAGGTTTGGTATGCACCAATTAAGGGCAGTTAGCTGACTTTGAGGATGAGGACAAGGTTCAGAGAGGGGAAGGGACAAGACACAGAGTGAGCTGGGGACCCAGGTAGAATTAGAGCACATCGCTGCAAGCCGGTGACACTCTGCATCTTCCCTGGCTTGTGATCCCTCTCCGTTCTAATGAGAACTTGACCTGTAGATTCTGTTGTTCAATGGAGCTGTGTAATTCTGATCACACTTGAAAATGAGACCTGCCTGTGCCTCTCCAACACCTCCAGGATTTCATCCATAATTATCAATTCCTTTCTCCTTTCTTTATTGAGCTAGCATGCAATTTGACTCCATCTTAGCAGATTTCACTTTTTTGCCCTAACTTATGTAGTCTACATTTAAGAAAAGTACTTAGAAACGTACTCCAAAAGCCAATTACTTAACAACCTTTACATCCACAACATTAAAAGCTTAGTTTACCATGACTTTTTGAAGAAAAAAAGGAACAGAAATGAAATGTATAAAAGAGATTCTGTTGCTTAAGAGAATCTGTGGACTGTGTTTCTACCTTGCCATACCTGCCTCAACAGGCTCACATTTCCTTCTATAAATTGAGGAAGAACAACTGTACCTATAAATACCACAGAACTAAATAGATCCTAGGTTTGCTTATGTGTCCTCAGTAGTCTATTCTACCCTCTCAGTTCTCAGCCTTCCAGGAGAAAAAAAAAACCTTGAATTAGATGACTGCTAAGGTTTTATGTTCACAGTATCCTGTCCATGGCAATCTGGAATATCAGCTTCACTTGATGCCAACCTGAAGGGATGAGAGTATCACAAGCTCAAACTTCTCTTGTAAGGCATCTTAGTCCTCAGACAGGAATAAAGTCCCTACTCAAGTCATATGGCTTAGGATCTGTCCAAGCAGATCTGGGATCTTCATCAGTATAGACCAGCCACAAGGACACTTGACCACCTGCTCCAAGCTTGTAAGGGAGAACAGCATCTGATTCTACCTCGTTGAGCCTCTTCGCCTTTATGGGCCCCCTCAGTTCTCCAAGCTGGGTGCTGGTGCTCATACCAGTTTTCTTGCCTGCCTCCCAAGTTCATCATAACCCTCTAAAAGGAGCCTTGTTGATGTAAGAGCCAGAGGCCCACTCCTTTGTGGTCACAAGCAATGAATGTCCAAATGCTGTATACAAAACCATTCATTGCACCCCTTTATCGATCCCCCTTACTGTTTTTTCTCCCGCCCTCAGGACTCTATGTGTCTCCTTTCTAGTAAGTAATGTAGATTAGCTGTTGTACTCTACATCTCAGAATATGAACTTTAAAACCAGGTAAGCATAGTTCACATACTCCCTCTATTGCATGAGGTCTCTGGGCATTTTGTGCCATTTAACCACTATGAGCTAATTTAATACTGTACAATCCTGACCTCTTAGGACAGCGGGAATTCTCAATGGGGCAATACCTGTAGAACATCATATCCAGACCCTCGCATGTAGTAGGGACACACTCATTTGAAAGTTCCCTCTTGTCCTCTGTAGAATGCGTTGCCAGAAAAATTCAGTGCCACATCAATAGTCACTCAACCAGTAAAGCTGCCACAGTGATCAGTGTACTCTCCTATAGCTCTTTTACATCTCCCATGTTCTCTCTGGATTCCATCTGCAAACCTCTGCCCAGCCCTCCAAGGGTACCACCATCCAAACCACTGAGACAAGAGCAAGGCTCACCTTCTTGAAATAGTCAGCAAGGCTGTCAGGGTCCCAGGCCAAGACCTCTGAGCGAAAGGGCACATTCTTCAGTGCCATGGCTGCTGTACTGGGAGGAAGCTCACAAGCTGGGCACAGGCACTGCACCCATGAAAGAGAAGAACCCCAAATCCAGACTTAGGGCTCTTCCAATTCCCAGCTAGCCTCAGGAACACTTTTGTTGAAGCCGACGTCTTTCTACTCTAGCCAGATCCCAAAAAGTAACGGCTTCCTCTGCGAACAAATATGGTCTCTTCTCAGAAAACGACTCAGCTAGTTTCCTTTACCACTTCCTCTGCTGGGTTCTAAATAAGTAAACAAGGAAGCCCAGCACTGGGGACTTGAAATGCTGAGAAACAGGCTTGGTAATTCCCATTGGTCCCTGTCACCCCAGCCTACTAGGAGGGGCAGCGAGGAGAACTTCAGCTGCAAAGTCAGTGCAAGTGTACTTCCAAGAAAATTCCTAGCGCCCATAGCTCTCGGCCACATTGCTGCTTGGCTGCACTTTTGCAGATAAAAATCTCTTTTGACAGCTGCCCTAAAATACAGACAACTTCTCACATTAGTGAGCCGTGAGGGGAAGGAACATGGCTTTTCAATGCTTTCAAACATCTTTCTTTCTCAACCCTTTGTTTCTACCAAAAGTTGGGATGCCTTCAGCCCCTCTTTAACTGTGATGGCAAATGAGCTCTTAATGGGCAAGTGAGGCAGACACTGAGAGCCGAACAAACTGCCCTAGTGGGGCAATCTGGGCTCCATTTCTGCTGGAAATGCTTCCACACTGTACCATCTCAGGCAAGCACTGAAATCTAGATAATTCAGTTTCCATATTTATGAAGAGGAATTACACTTGTAATACTTGGATGCATTTAATTCGACATACTTAAGTGGAAAATTATAAAGAAAAAAACTCAACAATGATATAACAGTGTCAATATGCTACTCAATGTTTCCACCTTGTGTTGTATTTGCTAGTTTCCTCCACATATACTATGAGCTATTTTTTTTAATGCATTTAGTACAGGGTCTACAGGGTCTCACTACACAGATCAGACTTGCAGTGATCTTCTTGTTTTCAGCCTCCCAAGTGTTGGGATTACAAGCACAGGCCACCATGCCCAGTCTCAATTGCTGTCTCAGTGCACACTGGGGGAAGGGCCAACATGGCACACCAGGGATCAAACCCTGATCCCTGTGCCTGTCTAAGCAGGTGCTTTAGTCCACTGAGTCTATGAGCTATTGATTCTAGCTGAAGGGCACCACATTTCCTGGAAATAGGAGATGGAAATCTATTTTCTTGCATGTGGATGTCCAAGCAGATGTGTGGTCTTCATCAGTATAGACCAGGCACAAGGACACTTGACCACCTGCTCCAAGCTTGTAAAGGAGAACAGCTTCTGATTCTACCTAGTTAGAATCGGAAAGGGCCAGGGAAATGGCTCAGTGGAATAAGCACTTCCCTGGCAAGCGCAAGGGCCTGAGTTCAATCCCTGGTTCTGCCAAAAAAAAAAAAAGAAAGAAAGAAAGGTTAGAATCAGACCCTGTGCACTTCTCATAGATTTGCCACTATCAATTGCTGAACCTTTATCCAAAGGCAAATGTACTGTGCAATATGGCAGCCTCTGAACATGTTAGCTACTTTATCCAATGTTCCATGTATATTTATGCATACACACACACACACACACATGCACACACGCACACACACACACACACACAGCCATTTGCTCCAATGTTTCAGGAAAGAATTGGGTCCTGTTGATTTCTGAGTGATGCTACACTGGCACCTGAGGTAGTGCTCTCCAGAAGTTTTTTCAAGGATATCTTTGGCCATGCCTGGATTCCATCTTATATACAATCTACGGAGGCTTGCTGTCACTGCAGTGTGTCTGTTTATTACTAACAGCGAGCTTAAGGAAGGCATACCTTTTGTTCCAATAAGGTATACAATGGTCCATCATAGTGAGCTTCCGTAGCCCTCCTGCAAAGATTGCTCAGGGCACCAATCAGGACAGCACAGGCCAAGTGTTCCCCAGAGGATCCAGTGCCTACGAACACTCAATAACTGGTCATGCTCTATAAAGCACAGCCCTGCTGCTTTGAAGCTCCCCATCACTTCATTTTTCAAATCACCAACACAGAAGCCCTTTGAGGGGAGAGGGAGAGAAATCATTCTCAAGTAGAGTCATCAAGAAGACATCATTAACTTAACTGAGATTTAAGCAGAGCCTTGAAGGATGGAGGATGCAGGAGGGAGTTTTGGACTTGAATCAATCAGACTGACTAAAAATGCATAGCACCTATGGAAAGGAAGATTCTAGGTCATACTTAAAAGTCTAAGTAACATTTTTTAAAATGATCACCCATTCAAGAGAAGAAAAAAAACAGAAAAGCAGAAATTTAAAAATAAAGGTATTATTAAATATTAGATTCCTCTGGAAGAAGCATCCAACAGCTGTTGCCAACATGAATGACCCATGGGGCTCAGTGACAAATCAGCCACAACAGTTCAGAAACCCAGTTGCCAATAAAGATGAGAGCCAAGAGAGGCAGTAGCCCAGCCCTTCCTATGTGCCAGAGAACGCACTGAGGCCTCTGTGCGCTGTCAGCTCTGCTATTGCACCTATTTTATAGGAGAGAAAACTGAAGGCCAGAGAGATGAAGCTGCTTGATTACCTCCTACTTCCTAGCAAATAGTATTGGGCCTTGCCCAACATATACTTGAGTCCTGAGAGCCTGCCTCTTCTTGTTTGCTCTTTCAAGGCACAGAGACACTACAGAACACTGCCCCAAGTGGAGTCAGGATCTGAAGTCTCCAGACTCTGTGCAGGTTCCCCTCTGTTAACATGAGGCATTTACATATGGTTGCTTCCTGTGATGAGCAAGTGAGGCTCTCAGTCTAAACAAGCTCAGAAGTGTTTCCCAAGCTTTGCACAAGGCAGGCCTCTGGTGTCCCTCCCCATAGAACCGAAAGCCCTTTCCTCTCAAAGGGTGGCCCGGCAGGCGAGAGAAGGTGGTGCAAAGGGAAGCTGGTTGCTTCAGGCCTGGTGCCTTTCCTCTTCCCCAGGCCCGGGTGATTTCCCAACAATCACAAGTTTTACATCTCCTGTCCATGGTGGGAGTGTTCCAGAAGCTCTGAGGGAAGGCCAGTGAGCCCCTAAAAGAAATTAAGAGGAACAGCATGAACCTATGCCAATGACCTCACTTGATGCAGCCCCTGGGGACAACCCAACACTTGGGAAAGTTGGAATGACTTCAAGTCTGTTTAGTTTTCAACAATTGTCTGCTGGCTTTGATGAGTGTGAAGCAGAGAAGAGGGTGGAATGAGGTGAAGCATAGCAATTTAAAAGTGAGCATCCTGAAATAGGGGCTCTCTTACCCATGCTGTCTTTCTCTCTCCACCAACCAGGTTGAGAAATGCAGAACTTAGAAAGGAACAATTTGTTGTTTGTTTTTTTTTTACTTTTTTTTTATTTTTTTCCATAATTTTATTGATAAACAAATAGCAATGAGACAGTTTCAAATCAAATCGGTAGGACAGTTTCAATAATTAACACACTGCATACATTCTTCTTAGTGGTTAACTGCATACAAGATGCGGACTTGAGATCCTATTTACCAACACCATTAGAACAAATCATTCTATTCATTAAGAGAATGTAACTATATATCCTAACCACTTTGAATACACAAATACAAAATGGTCATTCATCTGTATGCCCTTTTTTTTGTTAAGTTCCATTATTTGAATATTATAGGTGTGTAAACTCAGCAAAATATTCTAAAAGAGTCCAGTATCCCATAATAGTATTGGATCTTCTGCTTAACTGGCAATGTCAGAAATTGTTGACCTGAGTCCCCCACAGCTCAACATAACAGCATGGCTTTATTTTTTATATTTCGTTTTTATACTTTTCTTCTGGATTGTTAAGACCAAGGTAAAGCAGGACCTATGCAACCAGAGTTGTAGCTTTTGGGTCTGAGAAGGTCAGTGAAATCCCTCAGGATTTATTCTGAGATCCTGTACCTCAGATTGTAGAACCTGTGTCAGTGTCAGCCATGTGGATGAGTCACAGCCATTTGAAAGATTTTCAGATGTTATCTTTATAGACATCCTTCAGGATCTGCAGGGGATTGGTTCTAAAATCCACTGGGTATACTGAAATCTGTGGATGTTAAAGTCCCTTAAGTAGGGCCAGCCAGATAGCTCAGTGAATTAAAGTACTTGTGAAGGCAGACGCAGGGACCAGGGTTCAATCCCCAGGGTGCTGCGCCGGCCCTGTCCCTGAGGCACACTGTGAGGGCAACTGAGATTGGGCATGGTGGTATGCACCTGTAATCCCAGGGCTTGGAAGGCTGAAAACAGGAGAATCACTGAGTCTGATCTGTGTAGCGAGACCCTGTAGATCCTGTACTAAATACAAAAAAAGTTCCTTGTATAAAATGACATAGTATTTTTGTGCCACCTACACACATCCCCCTGAGCACTTCAAGTCACCTCTGGATTGCTTGTAACACCAAATATGATGCAAATGTTATGTGAGTAGTTGTTAAGACTATATTATTTAGGGAACAATGTCAAGAAAAATGTTACCAATGTCTAATACAGATGCAACTTGTTTTCAAATATTTCCTATCTGCAGCTGGTTGATCCACTGGTAGAGAAGCCCTATGTATCTCAGTGTGAGGGTAGCATAACAGTTTCTGAGCATCATAAAAACATTATGCTAGCACCCAGGGGCTTGTGGGTAAATAGCTCCCATAAGTACCCAATGGAAGCTGTGAATGAGAAAGCATTACTTGTAGGGACCAGTGTGTCAGTGTGTTAGAGCCTGGGGACGAAAGGGTGTAAGAGCAGCAAATGATAACCCCGAACAGAGGCTCACCCCCAGTCTCCTCTCTACTATCACATTCAGGCCTATAGCTCTCTCCTTTTCCTTTGAAGCTACAGCAGCATCAGGCAGGAGGATAACTGCCTTTCTGCCTAGCTAATTTCAGATGTTAGAAAGATGACACTTCATTGGAAGAGACTTGGGAGTTGCAGTTCCTATGTGTGAGGTTGGGGAAGGGGCCTGGGGGTGGTCACGTAGGGACCAGGGAGAAAGGATTGTAGGGTTATTGTGGATGATGATGTGTTGACTTTCATTGGATGGGAGTAAAGGTAGCTGAAGATGCTTCTGTATTGTTCTGGATAACAAATAGCTCCACAGACACAAAAGGGTCCGGTGCAGTAAGGATGAGGTAGTTAGGGCTCACCATGGGACAATGGTGGTGGGACAGAAGGGTAGGGCAACA